AAATTAGTGAATGTGACAATAGAGGCAATCTCTAGCAATAATAAGAGTTTAATTAAATTTGAATACAGCCCACAAATAAGTAATAAAAATTGTTTACACCTGGTGCATCAAAATATACAAGGCATGATGGGCCAAGAATTCGAAGTTGAATTGTTTTTAAATAGTAACAATATACACATTCTTTGTATTACTGAACATTGGCTAAAAGATTATAATTTCATGTTTAATTTCAGAAATCACCAGGTGGTCCGTTCCTTCAATAGAGAAAAAAGTTTACGTGGTGGCTCCTTAATATTAGCTATATTAGATAAGTCATTATTATATAAAGAACGTAAGGATATTGTGAGCCTCTCTGTTGAACGAACTGTAGAAATGGCTTGTGTCGAGCTCGAGCACCTCATTGTTGTAAGTGTTTACAGACCCCCATGTGCTACTTATGACTATTTTGAAAGAATTGTGGAAGAAGTTTTACTCAAACTTAGTAAACAGAACAAGTCTGTTGTAATATGTGGAGACTTTAACATCAATCTCCTTGAAACTTCTTCCATTAGTATTAAATTTAGCTCATTGTTTAAATCGTATAATCTTGTAAATTTATTCTTAGAACCAACACGTATTGCTGGGCCTAGTGCGACCTGCATAGATAACATTTTTACAGATGTTAAGCCCTTGCATAAATCAATTATTCAAAATTTAAGTTCAGATCACTGTGGACAGTTGGTATCACTACCTTACATACACAGAAAAATAAGAAAGTTGTATTTGTTCCAATAAATGAACATCGCTTGGAGAGGTTTAGAAGTAATATTATAATAAAAAGACTTCCATCACTTTCGTTTAAAAACAGTGCTAATTATTTGTATGCTAAATTATTTAAAATTATAAGTTGTGAATTTAGTAGAATATTTACTTCTAAAACTTTCTCTTTTAACAGTCGCAAATCATTTAATGAATGGGCGACAGTAGGAATTTATAAAATTAGGCGAAGGTTATACGAGCTTTATGATGAAAGATCATATAATAGTAGTGTTATATTTAGAGATTATGTAAAAACATATTCTAAAATATTTAAAAAAGTGTGCTCCACTGCTAAGGCTTTACATTTAAGCAACAAAATTAAAACTGCATCCGACAAAATTAAAATGACCTGGAGAATAATAAATAGTGAAACGGGCAAGGTCAAACCGCGCAACTCGGATTGTCAATTGAATATTAACAATAATTTAACGCGATCTGATCAAGAAGTTGCTATGGCTTTTGAGAAACATTTTACTGATGTTCCTTTTTTGACAATTAAATCATTAAATTCTTCTCCTACTGTCGCCGAATCATTGCTCAAACAAAATGTAAAGGCTTGTTCAAATACTTTTAAATTCCATAGAGTACTGCCAAAAGATATCGTTAAATATTTTAAAACTATTGATGTTAAGAAAACGGCAGACTTATGGGGGATTTCCGTTAAAGTTATTTTATCTATAATAGATATATTAGCACCTTATCTAGCCACTATATTTAATATAAGCGTCGAATTTGGTGTGTTTCCTGATTTAATGAAACATAGTAAAGTCATACCTATATTTGAATGTGGTAGTACATTAGACCCCGCCAATTTTAGACCAATTTCTGTACTACCAACATTAAGTAAAATTTTTGAAAAAATTATTTTAGATCAGATGTTAAGTTTCTTTAATATTAATAAATTGCTACATAAAAATCAATCCGGTTTTACAAGGGGTCGCTCGACAACTGACGCTGGAGTTGAGCTTATTAAACATATTTTTTGTGCATGGGAGAATTCATAGGATGCTTTGGGTATATTTTGTGACCTTTCCAAGGCCTTCGACTGTGTTCACCATGAGACATTAATCAGGAAGCTACAGTACTATGGTATCAAGAACACAGCGCTTAAACTTATTATTTCATATTTAAGTAATAGAAAGCAGAAGGTTATTATCAATGGTAAAAGTTTTTCCGGGTCACCTGTACTAATGGGTGTTCCTCAGGGCTCGATTCTCGGCCCATTCCTGTTTCTGGTGTATATTAATGACTTACCTCACCTTGTAGGGGATAGTCATGATATAGTATTATTTGCTGATGATACTTCCTTGATTTTTAAACTTAAACGTCAATTATTTAAATGTGACGAAGTGAATAATGCTATATCAAAATTAGTGCATTGGTTTAACGTTAATAATCTGCATTTGAACGGAAATAAAAGTAATTGTGTTAAATTTACAACAACGAATGTTAAAAAATCTGAATACCAATGTGTTTTTAAATGGGGAGGAATTGAGCCCTGTTGTATTCACTGTTTTTCTTGGCATCACTCTCGACGCAAAGCTTCAGTGGAGCCCCCATATATCCAAATTAGCAAGCAGACTAAGTTCTGCAGCCTATGCTGTAAAAAAGTTTAGAGGTCTCACTAGTGTCGAGACAGCTAGATTAGTTTATTTCAGTTAATTCCATAGCATAATGTCTTATGGGATTTTGCTATGGGGAAATGCGGCTAATTCAGAAACTATTTTTGTTTTACAGAAGAGGGCCATTAGAGCTGTTTACAATCTAAAACTGAGAGAGTCTCTTAGAGATAAATTTAAAGAAATAAATATATTAACTTTGGCCTCTCAGTATATTTACGAAAATTTAATGTATGTTCACAAAAACAAAGATAGTTTTCGTAAAAAAAGTGATATACATTCTGTAAACACTAGGAACAAACACAAGCTAGTGATGCCAGTTTCTCGACTCCACAGAGTCAGTAATTCATTCTTAGGGCAATGTATACGCTATTACAACAAGGTCCCGGAACGTGTACAGGTTCTCTCTATTACCAAGTTTAAATGTTTTATTAAGCTGAAACTGTATAAAAAGGGTTATTATAATATAAATGAATACATGGTTGATAATAACCCCTGGGAATGAGGTGGTCGCTTCCAAGCAGTTTCTAAAATAAATTTTGTATATAGTTCGTAGTCATTTATATTGTAAAATTTGCTTAAAAAAAGTCCCGCTGGGTTTCTTGCTGGTTATTCCCAGGACGGGTGGTATTTTTCGAACCAGTGGTAAAGTAAAAAATTACTTTCAATAAGAATTACACATGTAATGTATATTAAATAAAAATTATTCTATTCTATTCTAATCTATTGAACATGATCCTTGTTTGTCCATTTTCATCTTAAGACCTATCCGTTGGGAGACACTATTGAGGTCATTGAGCATGGTGCTTAGATCATCCAGCGATTCTGCCATAAGGACTATATCGTCGGCAAATCGAAGGTGAGTGATGTTCTCGCCATTGATGTTAATACCGTATCCTTTCCAGTCCAGAAGCTTTAAAACGTCTTCCAATGCAGCGGTGAAGAGTTTCGGGGATATAACGTCACCCTGTCTTACACACCTCTCTGAATTAAAGAGCTTCTGAAGGACTTCAGCTTTCAGAAGCTCCGCTGTAATTCCATCCTCGCCTGGGGCCTTGCCGTTTTTAAGGTGCTGGAGAGCCATTCTAATCTCGCTCAGACTGACGTCCGGGATATCATGGGAATAATGTCGGATAAGATTCGCTCTTGGATCGTTACTCACACTCGCGTGTGGCTCCAACGATGACGTGTACAGCTGCCCATAAAACCTCTCAATCTCACTCAAAATCTCAGGTGCCCCGGAAACGATGCTGCCACATTCTGTCTTCAGCTTTGACAGTTGGCTCTTTCTGGCAGACAGATCTCTGGCAAAGACTTTGGAGCCATCCGCTCGATCGCTTCTTCAATACGAGCTGTATTGAAGTTGCGTAAGTCCCACCGCATGTATTTGGAGATCTGTCTATTCAGTTGCCTGTATGCTGTCAAATCTGTTAAAGAATGTAGCTTCATCTCCCGTCTAACAGCCATGAGATTAAGAGTGTGATCGGAGAGTTTTTGTGTTCTTCTGCGGCGGGTTTTGCAGAACTTAGCTCCGACCGCATGGACAGTTTTCACGAGCTTCTCATTCATATCGTCCACTTCATTGCAGTTTTCTAGGAACCGAAAACGGTTTTGTAACTCGAGCTGAAAGGTTTCAGGACTTTGGAACAGAGCACGAGGGGGACGCAGCGTTGACTTCAATAGTCGAGACCTCTCCAACTTAACGTTTAGGTTCAGTGTGCCTCTAACCATTCGGTGATCGCTACCAGTTTTCACCCTCGCGATCACGGAGACATCACTGAACAGTTGTCGTCTGGTCGTCATAATGAAGTCAATCTCATTTTTTGTGGAACCGTTGGGGCTCGACCAGGTCCACTTCTTGTGGGGCCGCTTCTGGAAGAAAGAGTTCATCATAAAGAGTCCCTCTTTCTCCATGAAGTCGGCCAGCTGCTGGCCCCTTGGGTTCCGTTGCCCTATTCCAAATTTCCCTACTTTCAGCTCACCGTTCTCTCTTGTGCCTAGTTTTGCATTGAAGTCTCCCATTTACACCGTATATTTGCCACTCTCGCTCATATTGCCAGTTCTTTGACTCGCGCCCAAAAAACCGAAAAAGCAGGGGGCCATAGATTACTGATTACTGGCAGGGGGCATGGGCATGACGAGGAGCATGACATGTGGCATGACGAGTATTGTGGTCACACTACCTCTTTGCCTCCTTTCCTCGCATCTTCCCAGGCCACTCGACTCGACGAGTGTGTGGTCAGGGGGTTAGTTTCAGTTTATACGTTGGCAACACTGCGGGCTACAGGACGGGATGTGTATTGTCACAGACCAGATAGAGCACAGAGTACTTTTATATATACTGAGATAGAGAAACTAACGTGTATTGTGTAGTAACTATGGTAGTGAGTAGTGACATTTTATCGACGTTGAAATTGTAAATAAAGTAAAAGCAAAGGTGTTTTAAAGTGATATCCTAATTCAAATTCTAATATCTAACTACAACCACAATCCCAATAGCCTAATATATTTTTAAAAGATAAATTGTTTCTAAATAATTTATACTAATTGATTTATATATTAGATTAAAAGTTTAAGTAAAACATGTCAGGACCAGAAGTGGAGATTTCAGAAGGTAAAATAAGAGGAAAAGTGTGCAAAACCTATAATGGAGTACAATTTTACACGTTTAAAGGAATTCCCTATGCAAAACCACCTATTGGCGATTTGAGATTTTCTGTAAGTATTTTTGCCACCATGCCACAGGCTAATAGGATGCTAGTGCTGTAGGTGCATTACATTCGTCCACATTGTGTCTAAATTTACTAAGTTTTATTATTTTTATTCAACTATTAATTATTATCAGGGAGATTTACATGGTAGACCCAGGCTGCAGTTATATGGTTGTATCACGAATGGGTCGACTCGACTGGGATAGGACCAAGCTCTCATAGGATACAGGCGGAAAATAGCAGCTTAATACTGCAGTGTTTCGTACGGTGAGTGTGGAGAACCGAAGATCCTTTTTACTGGAAACATATCATCTTAGGCCTCATGGGAGACAACACATCTGTATTTTGAATCTTAATCGGGGATAAATATATATGTCTGTGGGCCACAGCATACACTTACCATCAGGTGGACTGTGTGCTTGTTTGTCACCCTTATCCTATAAAAATATAAAGACAAGCAATGTCAATACTGTAACCTGTTGATTATCCATGCTCAGGCAAATATCATCAGTGATTCTAACCATTATGGTTCAGTTTCGATCTGTTTCTTTGTAACACTTTCACTGTCCAGTTTTCAGACACAATAGTAAGGCAATAGCAATGATAGCAATGATTGAAGGATAACAAAAAGATTAAGACACTCACTGGACGATACATGGTATCTTAAATTATGATTTTTAACTTATTAAGTATATAAAATATCTTTATTTTGAAAGTAGTGATTGTTTTTTATAAACAAAGCATACACAGCTTTCAAATGGAGTGTTGTTTGTTGAAGTGTGAAGTTTGCAAAGAACAATGTCCAAATTTCTATAGAGTCTGTACCAAACTTATTTTCATGTAGTAAACATCACCTAGTTTGTAAAATAACATCTAAATAGCCAATTCATATTACGTACATCACCACATCTCTTAAAAATACATTTGAGATTATGTTCAACAAGCAACATTACATTTTTAGTGATCTTATTTAATTTTGCCATACCAAAACTGGTATGAAGAAGAAAAGTCTGGATAAAAATATTTTTTATTCATTATCCTTATAACCATAGATAATACTTGTAAACATAAAAAGTTACAGCATTGTAAAAAAACTGCAGGCACTGGTATTCTTGGCTCATGCCTGGCTCACCCAAGGCAAGTCAAGTGTAATTGTAGGAGGGTCATTGTGCTGGTTTTCGGCCTTTTAGTGGAGTTGTTAACTTTAAGGTACTAGAATAAATAATTGCCATTATGCTGACCTAGTGCTGTTAATGTTAATTTGTAGCTTACATAATGTAGTTTTCATTTTTGTAACTCATTGATGCAACAAGAAAATTCTCTTTTTTATAATAATTTTTGATATGAAAAATATGTAAAATGCTAGTTTTCAGCCCCAAATTTTAAATTTCGGCCCACAAGTATTTTAGTTTTCGGCCACTGCATTAGACACGATAGAAAAGTTGCCTTAACCTTAACTTAATATTATTTTTGTAAAATAATAATAAAATTTCGTGTCGTTAAATATGACAATCAGATCTACTCATTTTTTTGTACTTCCTTATATTTTCATCATCATCATCATCATCATTACAGCCCTTCACAAGTCTACTGCTGAACATAGGCCTCCCCCAAGGAATGCCACAAAACACGGTCCTGAGCCACCTGCATCCATCGACTTTCTGCATGTCTTACCAGGTCATCATTCCATCTAGTGGCGGGACGCCCTACACTTCGTCCGCCGGTACGAGGCCGCCATTCAAGAACCTTTTTGCCCATTGGTTGTCGGTTCTTCGAGCTATATGGCCAGCCTATTGCCACTTCAGCTTACTAACCCGTTGGGCTATGTTGGTCACTCTGAATCTACTACGGATCTCCTCATTTCTAAGTTTATCACGCAGAGAAACTCCGAGCATAGCCCTTTCCGTAGCTCGCTGAGCAACCTTGAGCTTCCTCATCCGGCCAGCAGTGAAGGACCACGTCTCAGTTCCATAGGTCACAATACGCATTGGTTGTACAGTCTCGTTTTCAAGTTTTGAGGTATACATGACGAGAAGCTGTGCTGTAATTTCCCGAACACTGCCTCATATTTTAGTCCAACAAAATCTATACATCTCAAATCCATTTGGTACAAAAGTCACATCCAATTTTTTTTCCATATCTTCTTCTGTATTGCTTATTAAAATGTCACAACACCAGGTGCAATTAATTTTACTTTTTCATTTTCCTTCATGGAATTCTAGGATTTAGTGATTTTTCGTTTTTGAACTTTAGCACTTTTTAACTTTTCTTTTTATATTCTTTTCTTTTTCAAAATATCTTATCTTTTTTAACTTAGTTCTAACTTCTCTATTTTAACTTTCTCTTTATCTTTATAAAGTTTTCGCCACTCTGTATATCAAATTGCTACAGAAGAAGGTGTACATGTACTGTTAATGGTTGATTTTTTACGAGTTCCGGTTTAAATAAATGTTTTTTCTATCGCATCTCTGTATTTTTTATTTAATAGTACTGAAGCCGATGTTTCACTAGTTTTTAGAGGTGTACTAGTCTGTTTCATTGGAATATCAACCAGCACATTTTTTAAAGTTTCAAATGCGTTGTTTGTTATCATCGGTGTTAGTGGTGATAGTATCGTCGTGGCCATTGTCATCAAATTCATAAATTCCACATTTTCTGAAACCATTTACTAATTACCTAGTCAGGTCATAAGTATTGTCACACAGTAAAAACTTTTCTTTTAGAATGCTGGCCACAAAAAAGTTTATTGAATTCGAATTTCGAATTGTTCATGAAAATAAAACTGTATACTTTTTAGAATTTTACTCATTTTTAAATATGGAGTGGACGCTTAAAGAAGACCGTGTTGCAGTTATTGCGTTGCATCGTTGCGGTTACGCGCCAATTCAAATTTTTGACATACTGAAGTTTGAATATAACCAAAAGATGCGTTTATCGTACCATCAAACGATACAATGAAGACTCTAGTGTAGGTGACAGGTCAAGAAGTGGTCGCCCTCGGTCTGTTAGGACTCCAGCAGTGATAAAAGCTGTGAAGGCGCGAATTCAAAGAAATCCCAAACGTAAGCAGAAACTGTTGGCCCTTCAGATGGGGTTAAGCAGAACCACGGTGAAAAGGGTGTTAAATGAAGACTTAGGGCTTCGGGCATATTGAAGAAAAACAGGACATCGTTTGAGTGCTCGTCTAATGGACCTGAGACTGAAGAGACGTCGCGCTTTGTTGAAGCGGTACGCGGGAAAAAATATCGGGAAATTCTTTTATCGGATGAAAAAATTTTTACCGTAGAAGAGAGCTACAACAAACAAAATGATAAGGTGTACGCACACAGTAGTGAAGAAGCGAGCAACCGTATTCCGCGTGTCCAACGAGGTCATTTTCCATCCTCGCTCATGGTATGGTTGGGAGTTTCTTATTGGGGCTTAACAGAGGTACATTTTTGTGAGAAAGGTGTAAAAACGAATGCAGTTGTGTATCAAAATACAGTCCAGATGAACCTTGTGGAACCTGTTTCTCATACCATGTTCAATAACAGGCACTGGGTATTCCAACAAGATTTGGCGCCAGCTCATAGAGCGAAGAGCACACAAGACTGGCTGGCGGCGCGTGAAATCGACTTCATCCGGCACGAAGACTGGCCCTCCTCCAGTCCAGATTTGAATCCGTTAGATTACAAGATATGGCAACACTTGGAGGAAAAGGCGTGCTCAAAGCCTCATCCCAATTTGGAGTCACTCAAGACATCCTTGATTAAGGCAGCCGCCGATATTGACATGGACCTCGTTCGTGCTGCGATAGACGACTGGCCGCGCAGATTGAAGGCCTGTATTCAAAATCACGAAGGTCATTTTGAATAAACTTTAGTGTCATAAGAATCTATGTTTTGTTAAGTTCATTTTGGTATATAAATGGTTACATAACGAATAAACTTGTTTCAATTATTTTATATTAAACATGTGACAGAATTTATGACCTGACTAGGTATATTTCTTTGGAGGATTTTTCTTTGGAGGAGCCTTCTGAAGAAAATAATGTGTTATTGAATCTTCTTTCTAAAACGCAGCGTGAATGAAATATTTCATGAAATGTCCGTCAACCTAAGCAGCATCCAATTTTCGGCTTCTCTATTCTTTCATACAATTTAAGTTGGCCGAAAACTAAATAATAATTTTAGTCTCAATCTAGTTTTCGGCCACAACTAAAATGGGTATTTTAGTTTCATCAATAATCATTCAAATTGCAGTAATTGGTGGCCGAAAACTGAAAGCTAGTGTCTTCGCAAGGTACAATTCATTATAAATAAGTGACTTTGCAAGCTTCGCCACTTAATAAGAAAAAAGACTAATAGTAGGGAACCAAATAAATGAAAGAGACAAAATATTTAGGCTAAACTCGGGCTACTTTCCGGCCACATGGCCGATAACCAAATAGGTAATAGGAAAATTTTATGTGTCACTTTCTGGCCACCTAATTTATTAACTTTTACAATAAAATGTTATAATAATCTGTGTGAAAATTTAAAATTAAGTTTTTTATACAGTGAAAAATAAGCACAATTGTAAATACAGCGCAACATTTACTTTTCAGTGAAACGCGCGCCACTATTTTTTTTTTGCACGATCTTACACTCTTTGACAGCTCCTGTGCCGGCGTCGAACTGAACTATAATGTACTCTGTGAACTGAACTATTTATAATAAATCGCGTGTTGTGTTTACCCGATGAAGTAATGTTGTATATACAATATACAATGCAACTATTTACAAATGCATTAAACTTAATTTTGTACGATAATATTTATTAAAATCGTTATTAAATCAAATTTACTGCATCACCTGGTGCCAAAGGCCGAAAACTAGACCCGGTCGGCTTACCGGCGCAACGACCCTATGTGTATATGTACACTACACCCAATTGTTCCATTACAAGTAATTGAACAGAACACTGATACTTGCACCAAAGAAATATTTTTTTATGTTAACAATCAATTTAAAAACATCACGAGTTGATTTATGACCATAAATGAGAATATTGTGTTAAAAAAAGCTTATGTCATTTAGAATGTAATATTTTTCCAGGCTTTTTAAAGAGATTTTTCTCATTTTCTCTTAATACTTATTATATATTATAATGGATTTTTCATATAATATGTAGAAGATTGGGAACATTGTCTGGTACAATTTTGCCATTGTCAATTTAAGAAATGCTTAGAGTTGCTCTCTCTCTCTCTCTCTCTTTCTCTCTTTTCTCACTAAATGACAATAGAAAGAGACAAAAATAATTAATACTTAATTTAAATAAGAGATAATTTAATAGTTATCAATAAGCCTGATAATGTTTAGTTAAATAAAATTTATATGTCATTTAGTTTAAAAAAAACATTACTTTTGGTATTAATTTATTCAGATAATAATTAATGAGATTATAAATTATATTATACTTCAAAATTATTTAACTGTGGTAGAACAGAAGCATGATCTTTTTTTTAATTTTCATAGCCCATTTGCAGAGGACATGTTTGAAGCCAATTAGTGGAATTGCTATATTTTTAAACTATATTGGTACTGGCAAAGGAAAATATGCTTTTTTTTAATTTGAGTAACATTTATCATTTACTTTAACTTTCCTCATCATTGAATTGTCTTTTGGTTTAAATTTGTAATTTCCTTTACTTCAGGTATGCTGTTTACTTAGGAACTGCTAATTATGTACTATGTTATTGTTTTGTGTGGATGTTATAAGGCTGTTTTAGATGTAATGGATATATGATTTTGGAGCTACAAGTACATGCAGGGATAGTTTTTTTTATATTTTTTTTTAATAGGTTAGGGTGACAAACGAGCACACAGTCCTCCTGATCGTAAGTGGTTGCTGTGGCCCATACATATTTACATCTATCCTCGTTTGCGAATCAAAATATTTCCAGTAAAAAGGGTCTCCGGTTCTCTACACTCACCATACGAAACACAGCAGTGTTAAGCTGCTATTTTACGCTGGTATTCTGTGATAGTGTGATCCCTCTCTGGTCGAGCCGACCCATACGTGTTACAACTATACTACTAATATAGCTGCAGCATGACACTAACACGTACACAAAATAACTGAATTAACAAACAAACTTACAGTCCACCTGATTAAGTGGTCACTGCAGTCTTTGGACACCTGCAGCCAACTTCAAACGAACAAAGCTACAGATACGAGATCACTTTCGAGGACTATGATGGATGTTTGTCCTTGTGAAATTTATGTTTGTAGACTGCCCCCACGATACAGGAGAAAATGCTGGTATGGAGGTAACGTTAAAAAAAACAGAAATAAAAAGAATGCCTCACAATCTGTAAATATACTGGCTCTCTAGACCCCTCACACTGGAACAAAGCAGTGCAGGCGCTATTGTTTGGCAGCAGAAATAGGTTAGTGTGCTATACCTATACATTACAAAGGCTGGCAACGCATCTGCAATTCCCCTGGTGTTGCAGTTGTTCATGGGCGGCGGTAGTCACTTACAATCACATGAGCCGTATGTTTGTTTGCCCCCTCTTAAAAAAAAACATATTCCTAGGCAGAAAAAGAATTCTTCCATCCACTAAATGATGATGCTTGATTCAAATTGCATGTTGCATAAGATTGCAATATCTTAAGTTTTTAACCCTTTATAAGGCATAAGCATCTAGGGGTGGATAAGTAAAACTGTTGATGGTTTTAGACTATTTTTATTATGGTTTTTCACAAAATGCAAATAAGAAATTCAAAAATTTTAAAAAACACGGTGGTAAATATTTTCCCGCTGCCCGTGACGCCTTAACTAGCCTTTCCTATGAAATGCAGTAAAACATGGTGTTATGCAGAGCGGAACTTTGCATTTTTCACATATAACTTTCGATCTTTTGTCTTTTTCTTTTGTGCTACACATTCTGCAACGTTTATATGAAGGCGATTCAACGGGCATATGGTCTCCAACGTTGGTGAAACGAACTTCCTCTGCGACAACATGCACTGCCTTTTGGCGATTCTCAGAAGCAATTTTTTTTCTGCAGATATAGTTGACTAAACTACCAGATCGTCGTTTTCTACTGGAAAACCCACTGATCAGTCCTCTAGCGACAGAGACTCGAAATTCAAGATTGCTTAGTTTTGTCGCATTCTTATTTTGGCAATATAACAAGTATGCATTTGTTATACTTGTATCTAAAAGGAAAAAGAATATTCGGACCCACCATCTCCTACTTCTTCTGCCTACTGAATAGGTACTTTTTATCTGATCAAAGTGATCAACGCCTCCCATCCTTTTAGTATACTCCTTTATTGCTAACGGGCAGTTGATTTCTTGTTTTGTGCCGTCTTTCTGAGTCCGTAAGACAGTGGTTTTGCCAACTTTTGGATGGAATGCATTACTCAATAGGAGAACCTCTTTGGTATCTTGCCAAACTAAGAAAGATACATTTCCCTTGACTCTCCATTTATATTGTCCTTTTGCAAGCTTCTGATTCGTTTTTACAAGTACAGGCAGATGTTTTCTGTGTCTTCGTACAGTTCCTGTAGCATAAATGCCATTTTCATATAGATATTGCATTAGAGTGTAGTCACAGAAGAAATTGTCAAATGTAATAATAATATGATATTCCTCCAGTGCTTTATTTATCAGCTTTTCAGTCAACATCTTCACAACTTTGGATCCTAGTCCTTCCTCTGTTCCGGTTTTTGATTTTCCAGTGTATATGTAGAATTCATAGAGATACCCAGTTTTACTGTCACAGCGACACCATACCTTGTAACCTCTTTTTATGGGCTTTAGAGGCATATACTGTTTCATGGAAGACCGGCCTTTGAAGAGAATCATCGATTCATCAATACTTTGGGATGAGGAGTCTTTGGCATTTTTCTGACATGCCTGAGTGATAAGATCCAATAATGGGCGTATTTTGTAAAGTTTGTCATAGTTCTCGCTTGTCTTATCTGGTATCTGTGTATTATCATTCACGTGCAGATTTCGCAATATCTTCTTGAATCGCTTTACGGTCATAGTCTCTGCTATTTCATCTACCCTGAAACCAGGGTCGGAAGACCAATAAAGGTCAATAGAAGGCAGAATATTGTATCCCATTATTATAAAAATCCCTACAAAGGCCTTCAGTTCTTTTTTATCTAATTGTGTCCATCCTTCATCTTTCCTTTGCTCTGCATATAAGTTTGTTAGATATATTATCAAATCGTAGACTTCATCAGTGAAGAATTTTTCAAATACAGTTACAGGTCTAGTACGGCTGCTAAACATAATTGCCGGTTCCATCGGAATTTCATCGTAAACGCTAGGACTTGGCCGATCAGTTGTCCACATAGTTTTTTTCCATGTTTCCTCTTCGCCGTCTGAATCATCTGTTTCCGAATCTGAGTTAGTATTTGCTACTGGTGATTGTGGTTGTCGCCGTAAGGTCTGTTGAGTGCCAGAAGTACTGGGTGCATTTTGGATTATTCTTGCCCGCCTAAGCCGGTCACTGTTGGTTGGTTGATGTGATGGACTAGGTTGGTTTTCAACAGACGCATTACTTATATTACTAATAAGACTATCAGGTGGATCAGGTGTGGGTGCTAGAATTCCATCATGAGGCTCATCAAGGCTCTCTAAAATTCTTTGAAGTTTCACTGTACTGTACTGCACATCTTCTTCATCGGATTCCAAATTATCATCTGACACATCGGGATCATCAGGTAAACCAAAAATCTCTTCTAATGCACAAGCTATTTCCAAGTCATTCAGTGCCTTTTCATTCATTTTCAAAATATAAATCTGTAACAACCAATACATACTGTCAGCTCCACGGGCAAAGGGAACATTTTTACCACCACAAAAAGCCCCTACTAACAAAATCTGCAAAATGTAGAATTGAAAATATGCTTGAATATCAATGAAATATACAATAAGCTTTAGAAATAATAACAACTTACCGTTCATGAGTCGCAGATATAAAAGATTTATAAAGATTTTAGAAGTCGTACCGAAACACACCCGATTTCAGTCTTCCAAACGTCACAGTGTAAAATCTAAAATGGCGACGTGTCATTACCATAGATGAAAAATGTTGACCGGATATCCATAAAAATGTTGCCAATAGGAAAAAATCTTTCCCTAAAATTTGCTTAACTAATAATGTGAAAATTAGTGGTGGGAAATATATTCCCGCTGCCTTAAAAAGGGTTAATATATTTACATTTTTTTAAATTAAATAACTATTAAAACATTAGTATAAAGTCCCTAAAGAAACAAGTCCAATTGTGAAAATAACAATTTAAAAAAACTCACACTGATATGAGAAAAAATTTACATCATATTTTTTGCAGAATCTAAAGCACCTCATATGTTCTAACCTCAAATCCATCAAGCCATTAAGGTTACAGAGTGTGCCAAAAAAAAATAGACAAATACATACAACATGTAATACACTGGAAGAATAACATTTCCTTCCTTCGCAGTCGGGTAAAAATAAATTAAAATAATGGCCTGACAATGGTGTTTTTTAACTATTTTGTATGACATTTTCATTATTTTTCTGTAGGCTGCTGTTTGGTTAAAAATTACATCGGATGTAGCACAGTCGTTATTTTGAAGATTATCTTGTTATAATAATATGAAATAAGTTGATGGTGAATTTCCATTGTTTACAATGTGGAAAAAAAGGTAAAAAGAAAATTAAAATTTGCCAGTGTTCTAAAAAGCAAGGTCTTATATTATATTGATTTATTTGTCAATATTAAAAATTATTACAGTTGTATAGTACAACTTTCATAGTGTGCTTGATTTTCTTGTCATCAATTTTAATAACGGTTTCATTTTGTGTTATAGATGCCTCAACCACCCGAACCCTGGGATGGTGTAAGAGATGGTACAAAGGAATGTAATATTTGTCCACAATTTGATAAGGCAACTGCCACCTTTGTAGGTGATGAAGATTGTCTTTATTTAAATGTGTATGCACCACTTACTTCAAATGAAGGCAAGAAATTACCAGTAATGGTATTCTTTCATGGTGGTGGCTTCATATTTGGACATGGCACAGATGATTCTGCACATGGCCCTGATTTTCTTATTGAAAAAGAAGTTGTTATTGTTAGTTTGAACTATAGACTAGGTATCCTGGGATTTCTATCATTGGATCGAAAAGAAGCACCTGGCAATATGGGCCTTAGAGATCAAATGCTTGCACTTAAATGGGTTCAAAAAAATATATCCCAATTTGGTGGTGATCCTAAAAATGTAACAATTTTTGGTATAAGTGCTGGGGGAGCATCTGTGGAGTATCTTCTTTTGTCCCCATTAACAAAAGGTTTATTTCATAAAGCGATTGCGCAATCGGGTTCATCCCTCTTGCATTGGGCTCAAAATGGAAAAGTTAAAGAACTTGCTGCAACAATACCTTTGTTAAAGAAAAAAGTAATTAAAGATGACGACCAATTATTAAAATATTTAAAAGAAATGCCGGTAAAAGAGCTGATAGAAACGTCAATGTTAGCAATAGGAACCGATAATAGTCGAGGAGGCATTCATTTCGGTTTCGTGCCTACGGTGGAGAAGTCGGGAGATTGGGAGCAATTCATTAGCAAATCTACATATGAAATGTTATCAAAGGGCGAATTTGCAAAAGTGCCTTTTATGAGCGGATTTTGTACACGCGAAGGACTTTTAGTTTTACCCGCTTGCCCTTCTAAACTTGACAATTTGGTGACTGAAAAATCGTTTATCTCGCACCTGCCTTTTGATTATGATGATACAGATAAACACGAACTTGAAATTAAATTAAAAGCAACTTATTTAGAAGGTGAAAAAACGCATAAAGACGACGATTACTATGCAATAGATTTCTTTACAGACGTTGACTTTTTAGGTGGCATTTATGTAGCGACAACTCTGATAGCAAAAAATAATGCACCAGTATATTTCTATGAATTCGCTTATGATGGATGTTTGAATTATTTAAAAAAGAAGTTGAACATTGAAAGGGAAGGAGCATGTCATGGCGATGATGGCGGATATTTGATTAAGTGTGATCTGTTCAAGGATGAGAATATTCTAGGTAAAGATAAACTGGTACGAGACAGAATGGTTGCAATGTGGACAAATTTTGCAAAATATGGGTAAGTTTTAAATAGATTAGAAAAATGAGAATAGATTAAGGAACATAGTGGTTATTTCTTAAACACTTTATCTGAATCGTAACTAATTTCTTTGGAACGATACACAAATTTTTAATATGTACTAAAACTAAAGACGGAATGATGAATTGATGTGATGTCAAGTGCTTATTGTATTCGTAGCGGTAGCGAGTCGTTAGCACAGTCTATACATGTGAAGAAAAAGTAAAAAAGTATTCGATCTTAGTCCTCAGGGGTGACAACGCATCTCCGTTTTGATTTTCAATTGAGGATAAATGTAGATGTCTATGGGCGACAGCATCCACTTACCATCAGGTGGACTATGTGTTCGTTTGTCACCCTAATTCTATAAAAAAGTACAAGGGCATGAGGTGGGTACGGTGAATATTCACATGTAAATGTAATTCGCCTGCAGTATATTGGTCGGAAAATGAACATGCGCAAGTACTGTGTCGCTCATGACTCGCTATTTATACCTTGTTTCTTCTTCAAAAGCAAACTAGTAACTCGGTTATAAGTAATACATTTGCATCTTATAAAAGCTTGGTGTGCTCAGTATTTAATGCGAGAAAATATTTAAAGCCGACTCAATGTGGTGCTAGTTTACAAGTCTTTGGTTCGGCCTCACGTGAAATACTGTTTTCATTTCTGGACCGCGGTATCCCAGTAAAGTGGATACTGAGGACAGGATTACGATGCACGAGTGCGTGCGCAAGTACAGATGCACTCTATTCCTCACTTTCACAGTCCGATGGGACGGCAATACGACATGACCCGGAGAAAGATTAGCCAATGGCTTTGGGTGCAGAACGCAGTCGGGGCAAGCGCGTTCTAGGCGATTGAATGTTAAAGTTTTTCAATGCTGTTTACGTAAATAGTTTTTTGTAAATACTTGTTGAAATACTCATTGAAATAGTTTTTGTTTAGTGTTTAGTATATTTAATTGTAGGATAAAATAGTTGAAATAGTTTTAATGTAATTTATTACCTATCTATTTCATAAATTATAATGGCAAATCGTCGTTCCTACTGATGGGGATGGATGCCTAATGAGCAAACAAAAAGATTCAGATATATTTTATATATATATATATATAAGGATAATGTAAGGTGATTTAATTTAATTTTTTTGTTAGATAGGTACTTATAGCGAAAAAAGAATTAAGTAATAATTTAACTACAGAAGTAATACCTAAGTAGTTACTTTTATTATAAAACTTAGTTGAACACAAAATACTGAAATTAAAACTTTGTTTAAAATATTTTTAACTAAGTAGCATACGATCACATTTCTGTTAGGAATCGTATTTCGGGTTTAGTTTTTGTTTACACTATCTACCTATTTCTTACGAGCCATGAATCACGATTTTCGACGACTGGCCTTGCATGTTATCACAGAACTCACATAGTAGCGGAAATATGGTCGATCATAGTCAGAATAGGTACTTTACCTAAGTAACTTACTTACAATTTCACGATGTATTTTTATAGTCTTTATTAAGGGGCTACTCCATGCGAACGACCTTGAGCATTTTGCCGGCGGCACTCCGCTCGCCTCAATATATTGCTTATTTGAAATATGTACGACGCCACCACCTATTGTAGGTACGAACGTAGTATTATTTTTTCAACATCAATGAACTAATTTATGGAAATACACACAGCGTACAACGATAAATGTATTTTAATTTTTTTATTCGGTATATTAGTTGCATTATATTAGAATTATGTATTTTCATATATTATATAATTATGAAATTTTATAATTAATTATATATTAAAAATGAAGCATTGAAAATTGTGAGTTTAAAAGATACCTATTCACTATAGGTAAATAAATATATAGCTCGCCTTTTGTACAAATATTTGGTGCAAGAAAGAATAAATAAATAAATAGGATGTTTCGTAGATGTGTTTTTGATTATTGTTAATTTTTACGTGTCACGTATTGAAAAGTAATATACCTAACTACGAGTACTAATACAAAAATCAACAAGAAGTATAAGGGTTCAATCTTTCAATTTCAATTGTAAAAAAACGTTACCCCTACACTAGGATTTTCTCCTGTGTCGTGGAGGCAGTTTACAAACATAAATTGCACAAGGACAAACATCCAGACCCGGAACAATTATTTGTAAGCCATACAAATACTTGTTCCGTGCGGGATTCGAACCCGCGGCCCCCAGCGCAACAACTAATTGCTAAGCCACTGCCCCACGTAGCCGTCGCCGGGTTATAGCTAAAGTGACCACACGTCCCGTTTTGAACGGGACTGTCCCTTTTCTCGGTCACCTGTCCCATTGTCCCCAAACAAAGCTCCGGGACACAAAATTGTCCCGTAACTCGTTGGATGGAAGTATTCAAAGTCAACAATCTTCAACATAATTTTTTTTAATCGAATATATTTTATGTCTACCTGCTACGAATGCTCCGGTAGAAAGAGTATTTTTTTTATTTTGAATAAATTGTGGACGTCTGAAAGAAACACTTACGGTTCCAGAGTTCTAAAGGCGATGTTGTTAACAAAGATAACAATAAAAAAACTTGAGCGGAATTTTATTTTTATTTAAAATCATCACCAACTTTATTAAAGAAAATTTAATCCACTGACAAATGTAATTAATAATTAAGAAAAATATGTTGCATTTAATAATTACCGTCTATACCGAATATAATTTTACAGTGAACACTAATTGTATAAAGTTATAGTTTTTAGAGTATAAATAAACCCATGTCCTGTTTTGAGTTAAAAAATAAATGGTCAGTTTAGTCTTTTTAGTTAAATTTAGTTTTAAAAATTTTTAGTAGTAAAAAGTAGGTATATTAGTACCTACTTAGATACTTTTTACCGAATTATAAGTATAGAACACCTTATGTACTCAATTATTTTTTGAAAAAGAAGAAAAAACAAGCAATAAATAATATACTATATTTTAGCAAAAAACTATAACTTAGTAATACTAATTATAACTTAGAACATAAATGAAAAACTCATAACTGACAGGGCCCGACCCAGGATTCGAACCCGGGACCTAATGATCAGCAGTCGCACTACTACAACCACTAGACCAACGAGGCAGTACTGTACGTAATAAGATATTGTGGTTGGGTGATAATATTGAATTAGCCTTTTATAGTGTAAATTATAATATTTATCGAAATTTTAATTATGGATTCGAACCTTACATGCCAATGGTGCTTCATTTTTTTATTTGCATTTACTTCAAAGAAAATACACGCAAAAAGCTTCATCGCGCAGTAAAAAACACAACAAATATATGTATAACTAATACGAAAAATTATACCCAAAACAAACAAATAATACTACCTATAAATAACCTAATAAGTAATATTATTTATCGACTGATATTACGTGAGTGTATGCGGCGCTGGTCGACGCTCTAACGACACGGGCTTCGCGTCGAAGAGCTCAGGGCTCACTGACTCTAGCAAGCCCGTGAGCAGTGAATATGCCCAAATTTTAAAATAATTTCTTAATAAAATCAAATTTTGGTCTTTTGAAAAAAAATTTACTATAGAAATGTTTATTAATAAATTGTCTATCCATTGGTGTAAATCGCAAAATAAAATAATACTTACTTTACGAGGAGATCCATGTTATCAATAATAATTTCACATTTATGTGGTTTCGTTGTAAGGAGATTATATTAATATTTATTCGTTTTAAAAAAAATTGGATATAGCTTTTATGGAATCAAGATTATGTAGAAATATAATGTGTTTTTTATTTGTTGATATATCTTTTAAATAAAAAGTAGATAGCTTCTAAAAACCGCCCAAATAACGACTAGCGCGACATTTTGCTCAACCTGCGCCTTAACAGGCCGTAGTAACCACGGAAAGTCCGTTGTGACGTAGGAAGGAGAAAAGATGCAAAGTAATACGGACACTCGCGCGCAGCGATAACGTTTTATTTAGCTTGCGTGCGCGATTTATCTGATTAATAATAATTATGTAAGGCTATTAAAACGTCGGCAATCAGTCAACATCAAAGTAGTGCAACTTCTCTACGTAGTACTATTATTTATTCTGTGATATTAGCTGTAATTGTAAGAGAGTATGGTATTATTATGTTTTATAAGGAATTTTCTGGGTAGAATTTTCGGGAGAGCGAGGATTTGATCGCTAATCCCTACGTTATTATCACCAATGCTTAAAATCTCATCATCATGACTATAGCCTTTCACACGTCTTCTACCGAAAATAGAGCTCCCACAAGGAACGCCACTAAACACGGTTCCGATCCACCTGCATACTACCAGTTGGTCACTACACTTAGGGGAGGCCGCCCTAATAACAAATGCACATAATGTATCTTTTTGTAATTAATATTTTAATTACGTTTTAGTGACCCTACACCAAAAATTGATAATTTGATAACCACAAAATGGGAACCAGTCGGTGATAACCAAATGGCGTATCTGGTCGTGGACGATAAATTGACTATGAAGAACAAACCTTATCCGAAAAGAACAAAACTGTACGAAGAACTTTATAAAACATTTAACAGTTTTTAGTGATGCCTTTTTTTAATTTAATTTTCGGAAGATCTAGCACATAGAAAATATTTTAATACTGTTTCTCTTTATTTTAATTTTATCAATAGAATTATTTTTATTCAAATTATTATTTAATAATTACTCAATAATAAAGTTCAATTTTGTAATATTTAAGTAAGTGGATAAGGGTTTATAGTTGTTAATTTTAAAATTCTACGTTTCTAAAAATTGTATGGTTGTGAAATGGTAGGTAATAAAGATTATTATTACAAAAGTGTTTAATTTATTTAATGAAAATCGACTGTATTGTTTAAGGCCATACCTTACCATGGGCTACAATGATGATGGCACTAACCTGCAATCAAAATAATCTACTTTTTTCGATATAACATTGTCTAAATACAAAATTTCATACAATTACAGCCGTTATCAAGAAACACAAACACGCTACAAGAACCTATACAAGAACTGCTTGCCCATCGTGGTGATAAAATGCAGCATTTTATCATCATCATCATTACATCCCTTTACAAGTCCACTGCTGAAGTGCTGAACATAGGCATCCCCCAAGGAATCCCACAAAGCACGGTCCGGAGCCACCTGCATTCATCCATACCGCAAGTCTTACTAGGTCGTCACTTCATCTAGTGGAGGGCGTTGGTAACTCTGGTTCTACTACGGATATCCTCATTTATAAGTGTATTACCTTGAGCTTCCTCATTCGGCTCTTTGTTTTGTCCATGTTCATCTTAAAACCTATACGGTGAGAGACACTATTGCGGTCAGTGAGCATAGTGCTTAGGTCGTTCAATGATTCTGACATAAGGACTATCGTCGACAAATCCAAGATAAGTGATGTACTCGCCATTGATGTAAATACTTTATCCTTTTTATTCAGTTTCGGGGATATAACGTCACTATGTTTTACATCCCTCTGCAGTTGGATAGGTTTCGTACTCTAGTTCTGTACTCGGGATAGCCATCATAGCCGTAATGTACTCAAACATTTCAGCACTTCGATATACCGACAGTCGACTTGGCACCGCTGAAGGGACTATAGCACCGCGCAAATTACGGCGGAATTAAAGGCTTTCTCTTAGTTCACATACGCAAGGCACCGTGGCAGATTGTACTCTTCGGTCTTCTGTACAATTTGCCGAAGGGTATGTATATTGCCTATGGTACTAAAGCCTTTACGAAAACCGGCTTGTTCGGGAGGCTGAAAGTTGTCGAGTGTGAGTGCGAGATAATTCGCAATGACTTTCGAAAACAGCACGTACATAAACGCGGCTCGGAAGGAAAATCGGGCTGTAGTTCTTCAAAACAGGGTTGTCGACTTTTTTAACCGATTCGTTGCGGCACCGATTTTCGACAACTTTTAGCTGTGGCGGCGAACAAATATTTCAGCCACAGAAGTTAATGACACGTCTATCGTGCCATCAGCCATGTGTAAAAATAATTTTCTTTTTTATGCTTTTTTCACTTGTTTAGACCTAATTAAGTTTAGTTAACATCAAACATCAGTTACAAACGGAAGGATACTTGTTTTTAGTGGGTAACTACGTGTTTTTCAACGTGTTTTTTTGACTTTTTTATGCAGAGATTACAAACCTTTTGTACTATTTTTTGTTTTATAAAAAAAAATCATTTATATAAGTAGGTACAGCTAAATCACCCTGAAAAACCTTGGTTTTTATTAAATTAAATTTTCACATAATAATTACATTTGTAAATATCAAACAATCAAGAACCTTAATTTGGAAATAATAAGGTTTATGATTCATTGATATTTACAAATGTTAAATATTATTTAATGTTATACAAATGTAAAAGTAAAGTCGATCTGAAAACGTCTACTTAGTAAAAATAGCAATAGTATAATAATAATAGCAGAATAAGTGTTTTCAAAAGGAAACAAACGGCGGCGTATCGACAAAAGACTATTTATTAGCGAACTTTTTTTATGCATGAACGGTTTCGAACAGTTTCAAACAAAAATAAACCTTATACCATATCACAAGAGCACATGGTACTTCGTAGGTCTATTCGGCCATATGATAGTCATAAAACGGCAGTTCAACCATTTTAAGCAAAATCAAACAACATTGTTTTTTTTTTAACAGGAGACTTGTTTTCCAGAAATTTATTTACAACTTGAGTTTGTGAGCGATCGCAATGAGTGCTATTGTTTGTTACTTATTAGACTATTTTTCCACAACATGATTTAAAACCCACAAAGTAAAAAGAGTACCATGTACAATTTAAAAAAATGTTGTCAACCCCTAAAAATTTCAAATTTTCAAGATATCTAGATACGAAGCTGTAAGCATGAACTACTTACAAAATAATGAATATTTTGTTGTGGATAAATTTTCCAAAAACGCAATTTGAGCGAGTTATAACGATTTTTAAAAAGACACGACTCGCGTATCATACGCCACACACAAAAGTAATCGACGGCACGCCTGGCGTGCTATCCGCACTGAACCGGTTAAAGAACAAGACCACTGCACTTCTGCTCCTTACCTCTGAGAGTAGTGCCACCGTGGATGACGGAATTGAAGAGCTTCTGAAGGAATTCAAGTACTAGTTTTCCATTCGATTTCAGAAGCTCAGCTCTAATTCCATCCTCGCCCGGGGCCACGCCGTTTTTAAGGTGTTGGGGAGCCATTCTAATCTCGCTCAGACTGACGTCCGGGATATCATTAGAATAGTGTTGGATAAGACTTGCTTTTGTGTCGTCTCTCAGTTGCGTGTGGCAACGATGACGTGTACAGCTGCCCGTGGAATCTCTCAATCTCACTCAAAATTTCACGTCTCCCGAAAACGATACTACCACATTTGATCTACAACTTCGACAGTTGAGTCTTTCTGGCAGACATATCTCAGGCAAAGACAGGAGCCTTGGTTCCGCTCGATCGTTTCTTCAGTACGAGGTGTATTGAAGTTGCGTAAGTCTCAGTTCAGTTGCCTGTTTGTTGTCACATCTCCTAAAAACTGCTACTTCATTTCTGGTCTAACAGTCATGAAATTCAGAGTGTCATCGGAGAATTTTTGGGTTCTTCGGTGACTGGTCTTGCAGAACTTCGGTCCGATCGCATGAACAGTTTCCACGGGCTTGTCGTTCATACCGTCCACTGTATTGCAACTTACCAGGCACTGAAAACGGTTTTGTAGCTCGAGCTGAAAGGTTTCGGGACTTTGGATTAGAGCACGAGGGGACGAAGCGTTGACTTCATTAGACAAGATCTCTCCAACTTACGTTTAGGTTGTGTGTCTCTAACCATTCGGTGATCGCTACCAGTTTTCACCCTTGCGATCACTGAGAAATCACTGAACAGTTGTCGTCTGGTCGTCAAAATGAAGTCAATCTCATATTTAGTAGAACCGTCGGAGCCACTAAAGTAGACCTGGTCAAAGGTCTACTTTACTGGGGCTGCTTCTGAAAAAAAAAGTTCATCATGAAGAGTTCCTCCTTCTACATGAAATAGGCCAGCTGTTTACCCCTTGGGTTCCGTTACCCTATTCCGAATTTCCCTACCTTCACAGTTCACAGTTCTCTTTTGTGTCTAGTTTTGCGTTGAAGTCTCCTGTTAACACCGTATAAGGGGGTTTTGGAGGAATGCATGGCTCTAGAGATATTCTCATACATTTCCTCCAGGAGGTGGAGGATCCAGATGTGCCGAGGTTGGTGCGTAAACCTGTATGACCGTCACCGAATACCGTTTGGTAATTTTGAGTAAAAGGTACGCAACCCTCGTCTACACATTCCCAATATTTACAACGTTGTTAACGATAGACTTGTAGATGGTAAATCCTACACTTTCTTGGGAAAGATGGCCGCCACCCTGGTGATAGAACAAGTTGGCGTATTCGAGGATTACCGTGCCCTCCCCCTCTCTTCACCTCAATCTTATTATACCTATCCTATTCCAGCCCTATGATCTTCTCGTCAGTCCTCTGGGTGCGTGCATTGAACGTTGCCAAATCAAGTCGTCTTAGGTGGTAACGGAACCTCCACGAAAAATTCTTAGCACGCCCTGCCCTGTAGTTACCACGGTCGCCATCGTAGCCAGGAATATCGGGGGCCGTTTCTTTATATCATTGCTCATGGGGATGCTTGCCATAGTTTCACGCCTGGCAAATAGGTTGGCAACCGCACTTTTGTATTGTAGTTTTGCAATTTGAAAAATTTGTGTCGTTTAGGCGTTTTGCCTTAGTTTTTAGTTTAAAACAATCTTTACACCCTCAATAGGAATTACCTCGGTATCATGGAAGAGTTTTATGTCCAATAATTGAACAAAGACTCAACCAAACTAGAAACAATTATTTGTTGGCCGTACCAATACTGGCTCTGTGCGTCGGTTGTGCCGCATCCTAGTGTAGTGCACAGCCGAGTTGTGGTACGCATTAGACTTAATGACTAATTAAAGCGTGCCGGCAGAAGAGTTTATAACCACAAGTTTTAGTGCGAGCATGCGGTAATCATCGGAGACACCCACTTTCTTGACTTCACTCACTTTCGTTCGGTTGATCTGTACTAAATATTAAAAATTCTACCCATTCTTTAAGGTTCTTTTTGGAAATAGACTCGTACTGTTGTATAATATATAATATAAGTAATAAAAAATTATCCTTTTTAATCAAAAATACTTTACAGTATGTCGCTCCACATTTACTTATCAATATCCGCTTTAAACCATTATTTAAACAATGCAGTTATTAGGGGTTGAGATTTCTCCGAACCTCAACTATGGGCGGTTCCTTGAGTCCAGGGCCAAAGCAGCTGCAATGAAACTAAATGTCCTCGCAAGGCTGCGGCGGTATTTCACACCGGGGCAGCTTCTTACCTTATACAAAGCGGAAGTCCGGTCGTGTATGGAGTATTGTTGTCAGTGTTACATGGGCTTGTGCTGCAAAATACCACCTAGCAGCGTTAAACTCAGTGGAGAGACGTGCTAAGAGACTCATTGGTTACCTTGATTTGGTTGCAACCAATCTTGTTAGACTCGAGCACAGGCGCAGAGTAGCCAGCCTTTCGATATTCTATAGAAATCATTTTGGAGAGTGTACGCAGGAATTACATGCTTTATTTTTTCTCTCTCCTTTCCAACATCGGACAACCCTTTTGCTATAGATATATCACGAGTTAAAACCAAAAGGTTTGCTTCATCTTTTGTAATGCGTACAGCAAAGGAGTATTTTAATTTGCCGACGTCTGTCTTTCCATCCGAATACAATGTGGCCGTATTCAAGACAAGACAACATAATTACATATATAGTCGAGGTAGCTCGGGACCTAAGCGCCCGCTGCAAACTTTACAGTACGCGAACAACCTGCATTCGATCCCCGCCATTGGCACCCAATGAAATTGTTAATTGCAATTTTAAGTTAAGATATTACCACGTATTTGGCGGAAGGAAAATCTCGTAGATGGATTTGGTTTCGGCGTATTTAGTAGATTAATTAATTTAATGTTCATGATAAAATATACTTCGGGCCACTCCAGCCAAAATATTTTGAGTACGACTACTGGCAAATTTTTGAAAATGTCATGTCTAAAATTTACGACTATAATGTTTAAACTTTAAACAGTTAAACTTAAAAAAGTATCACGAAGACTTATTTGGAAATTTGCAACCATCATCAGCAATCTGCATCATTATAGTTCTATCTGCTGCTGACTGTAAGGACAAGGCGAATAGGGTAGAACTGCGTTTATGGAATTTTGAAGTCATATGAGGGTTTCGTACCGAAACTTGACATTTTTTTTCGATCTATGCCGTAACGTAACTATAATCGTGATTTTTCTTAATTTTTTTGACCATGTTCTCCAAAACGGGGTATTTTTAAGCTGTTTTCCTAAAAACAGTGAAATAAAAGTCAACACTAAGTAATAATTTACCTATTATATATACCTATATTTCTGAAAGATCCATCCATCTATCTATTACAGCCTATAAGAAAGAGACCACTGCTAAACATAGGCCTCCCCCATAGAGTGCCTCATAGGGGGAATTTTGCCATTGTTGCCAATGTTGGCAGGAGGGTTGGCCACAGCAGTTTTTTATAATTTTTAGTTGCTATCAGGAATATGCTGCAGCCTATCTCCTGTTTAAGTTTTCCTCTGTCGCCTCTTACGACACCTACGGGGTGATATGGATTAGTGGGTTAGTGGATAATCTTACACACTTAAAAGTTAAAAAAAATTGCCTTTTTTCTTATTTTACCACCTAAAATTAACTCTCAATACGAATTAGGCGACAGTAGCATAATGGGCGCTATTGCTTTTAGAGTGGGGCTTTGATTTTCCACTGCGCCGGTGCCGGTGCTGGTCTACGCTCAGTTTTTGGGTGGTCCATGGTCTCGTCAAGTCGTTGTATTTGTTTGTTATATCTCCTATATTAAACACGGACATATAATCAACGCAGAGAAGTCAAATTTTAAATTCATCCAATCTTAAAAATAAAATACTGAGAAGGAACATATTAAAATAGGGTATTATTTTATAAGTTGAAAATGTACTCCAAAAAACTACTTCCGCATGAACGAGGAGACATTTCATCATTTCACAAGTCAATTTCGAGGTTCATTATCAACGCGTCCCTTCTACATCGGTCCGCGCACACAAACACACACGCACATGGCTCCAATACGTGCATTTTTGCCGTCCGGCATCGAGCGGGAAGCTTGCTGTCCCGGCACCGTAAGTGAAAACACATGCCATATATTTCATACATTTTTGCTTCCCCGACAGCCGGCCGGGCCGTTGCCGGCGCCGGCGCCGTGCCGGTGGATGGAAAACCGCGTAATTGCAGGGTGCGGACCGCGAACTAAAAAAGTGGGTCAAATCCAAAAAGTGGGTTTGAATCCGCCATTCGTAATGTTAATAGCTAGTATTTTTATCAATAAAACTAAAAAATAATTACGCAAATGTCAAATATTATGAACCACTACGTTTGATCTATTGTAAAAAACGTCTGTGCCAGATACCTAGGTGATTCCACAAGTTGTCAAACCGAGTTTCATCCACTAATGTTGTCAAACCAAGGACCGAACGCACGAGAAACCACTGTAGGGAAGCCGCTTGTATCTGTCACACTCTCTGTTTATGAAAATGATCTGTAAATTACTAATGTTATGATGATATTTGGCAAATAAATAAAAAAAATATCGTGCCTCCTGAGCCCTTTCATGTCGTGCGATGCGTACCTAATTCGCTAAAGAAAATAATATGTGGTGGAATTGGTCTCGCAACGCTATAATATGTCAGAGATTAACTAACCAATAAAAAGGAAGCTTCAAAAATGTACTTTGTAAAACTTAGGGTTATGTGAGCCGTAATTCTTAACAATCATCTATATTAACATCATTCTACATTTTTCTAGATTAAAACAATTATTTTTTAGTTTAATATTGCTGTGTTTCGTATTGTGACTAGAGAAGCGGAGACACTTTTTACTGGATACGAGGCATTTCATTTTAGCCCTCAAGGGTGACAACACATCTATGTAGATGTCTATGGGTCCACAGCACTTACCATCTTACACTTATCCCGTCAGGGTACATGTATTCTGTGACACTTACCATCAGGTGGGCTAGTGCCCGTTTGACACTCTTATTCTCTAAAAAAAAACAGTCTATCTCAAAGCTTTTGGACTAGAAGTTTAGTTTTTAAATGTCTATATTATTTTTAAAACGTGATCCTGCTGGTTTTCTAATAAGACGATATATACATCAATTCAATGAGGATGGTTATCCCATAGACCAACGTTGCTGTTGCTGGTGATAGTCGTTATGATACGAGTATTAAATAATGTTAGGTTTGGAAATTAGTATACAAAGTGGGTATGCTTACTAGGTACTAAAGTTTTATTTGATGACAATTGAAATTGTTTGATTAATTAATTATTTCTCATATTTTTCATAGATTTCTTCGAAAATTGCCATTTTATTTGGTTTGTAGTTGCTTTTCACTTTGATTTCCTTGTTAATACTCAAGTAAACTGGATCCTTTTCCGTAAATAAAGGCCATTCTACTAAATTATCCAGATTTCCATCAGGGGTAGGGGAACTGAAACAGAAATTATAATTCGATGTTACTTTATAGATAGGTACCTATTTATTACGAATGCTTTTTTTATTTACAATAATTGGGCAACTTACTTTGTAAAATAATTTTTATATCTGGAAACAAATTTGGAAAATAACAAAAGAAATTAGTTTTAAAAGTAGACATAAATAGATTTAGATGCCAAAGGTTAAAAAATGACACTGCTAGAAAAAGTTTTGATAAAGAAGTAAGGGCTACAAACTAACTACTGGATTCTACTTTCTACCGATTGTGACTCAAGGGCGACAAAGTACACACAGTTTGGAAGTGAATGCTGTAGCCATTGATATACAAAAAACCCTAAATATAGTATCATGTTGGAGAGAGTGCAGAATATATTTATTAGATATTTATATAAAAAATGTATGGAGTATACCCATTTTACCCAAAAAAAGTATCCTACCTTATTCACCTAGGTATGGTGATCAATATTAAATTTAGATCATTGTTTAAATCATATGGTCTTTTTAATTTATTTATAGAGCCAACGCGTATTTCTCAATCTAGTGCAACATGTATAGATAACATTTTTACAAATGTGAAGCCGTTGCATACATGTATAATTCAAAAATTAAGTTCTGATCACTGTGGACAAGTACTTTCGTTACCTTATGTTCACAAAAAGCAAGTAGATGAGAAAGTTGTGTCTGTTCCAGTAAATGCACTTCGCTTGGAGAAATTTAGAAGTAACATAGTGAAAAAACTTCCATCATTTTCATACCAAAATGATCCTAATTTTTTGTATGGAACATTATTTAAGCTTATTTGTAACGAATTTAATAATACTTTTACTTCTAAAATATTCTCCTTGAACAGTCGGAAGTCATTCAATGAATGGGCAACAGTAGGAGTCCATAAGAGCAGGCATAGGTTATATGATCTTTACCATGAAAGGTCATATAATTATAGCGTCGAATTTAGGGAATATGTAAAAAAATATTCAAAAATATTTAAAAGAGTGTGCTCCATAGCCAAGTCTTTGCATTTGAGCAACAAAATTAAGACGGCTTCCAATAAAATTAAAATGACATGGAGTATAATTAATAGTGAAACTGGTAAGATCAACTCTCGCAATTCAAATTACCAGTTAAGTGTTAACAACAAATTAATTGAATCAGATCAGGACGTAGCAATGGTTTTTGAGAAATATTTTACTAATATTCCGATCTTGAGCACTAAGTCACTGAATTCTTCTCCTGCCGTCGCCGAATCATTACTTAAACAAAATGTAAATGCGTGTACAAAGAATTTTACATTTCATAAAGTGTCATCAAAAGATATTGTAAAATATTTGATGTTAAGAAAACTGTGGATCTGTGGGGGATTTCCGTTTAAGTTATTGCGTCTATAATATATACAATCGCGCCTCATTTAGCTATTATTTTTAATACTAGTATCGAATCTGGTGTGTTTCCTGATTTAATGAAGCATAGTAAAGTAATACCTTTATTTAAATCTGGTAGTAGTAGTGGTAGACCCCGCCAATTTTAGACCTTTTTTTGTACTACGAACACTTAGTAAGATTTTTGAAAAAATTGTTCTTGATCAAATGTTAAATTTTTTTAATATAAATAATTTACTTCATAAAAACAATTTGGTTTCACAAGGGATCGCTCGACAACTGATGCGGGTGTTGAGCTGATAAAATATATCTTTAATGCATGGGAGAATTCACAAGATGCCTTGGTTATATTTTGTGACCTATCCAAGGCCTTCGATTGTGTTCACCATGAAACATTAATCAGGAACCTTCAACACTACGGTGTAAGAAGTGATGCTCTTAAATTAATTATTTCATATTTAAGTAAGAGAACGCAAAAGTTGTCATTAACAATATGAGCTCTTCCGGTTCGATGGTACAAATGGGCATGCCTCAAGGCTCAATTCTCGGCCCCTTTCTATTTCTTGTATACATTAATGACTTACCTTACATAGTAGGGGATAACCACGATATAGTATTATTTGCAGATGACACTTCTTTAATTTTCAAATTAAGTCGACAATTACTAAAATATGACGAAGTAAATAATGCTATATCTAAATTAGTAAATTGGTTCAATGTTAATTTGCATTTAAATGGCACTAAACAAAACTACGAAATGTATGAAATTCATGACTCCAAATGTCAAACAATTAAATACTAATGTAATTTTAAATGAGGAGAAACTGAGTCTCGTCGATACCAGCATTTTTCTTGGAAACACACTAGACGCGAAGCTTCAATGGAGCCCCCATATATCAGAACTAGCAAGCAGACTTAGTTCTGCAGCATATGCTGTAAAAAAGATTAGAAGTCTTACCAGTGTTGTAACAGTTAGACTATTTGACCTGCTCAAAGTTCAAAAATTTTATTAAACTAAGTTTGTATAAAAAGGGTTATTATAATATTAAGGAATTTATGGAAATGAGGTGATCGCTACCAAGCTATTTCTAATTTGTTGTGTTGTTCATTTGTGTAACATCATGATTGTAAGCTGTTATTTTAAAAAAAAGTCCCTCTGGGTTTCTTGCTGGTTCTTCCCAGGACAGAGGTTTTTTCCGAACCAGTGGTAATCAAACAAAAGAGTGACTTTCAATAAGTATTATTTATAATCTATATTGAATAAAAAAGTTTCTGTTTCTGTTTCTGTAGGATACTATGAGCTAAAAGATAGAAGGAATTTAGCGCTAGTCTCACATATCTTTAAGGTGATGAGGGGAAAGATTCACAATCCAGACGTATTGCAACAAGTGCGCATGTGTGTTCCGGACAGATATGTGTGGTGTGGCGGCGGCAGCGGCCGCGGCTGCTGGTTGTGCCGCGCGGCCGCACTAAGCTGGTGAATGAGGCGCCGTTTACGCGCGCGCTGCATATCCTCAATCGTATAGCAGAAGACATTGATCTATTTTGTTGTATTCTGGATGGGTTCATAGCGAAAGCTCTCTTTGAAATAAGTTATGGTCCTACTGTGACATAGATATGGTGTTTGTAATAGAAATATGTACATATGATCAAGATAATTGATTTTTTGATTTTTGATGTTATTGATTCACAAACTTGTAATAGTTAATTTTTTACAGTTTCAAACTCCAGTTTCACCATCATTATTATCGTTTTTGCTTACTGCGAGTCATTTTCTGGATATGGATCACATAAAGCACGATCATATTTAGCACCTTGTATTCGTCATACTATGCTCCTCGCCCCGCTCATCGCTCTGCTCCTCGCGCTGCCGCGATCTACCCTGTCTGTTCACACACTGTTCTACTCGCGCAATTAATCGCGACCCTACGCACTAGGTCGCTCGCCCAAAAAACCGACAACACAGGGAGCGATGAGCATGACGAGGAGCATGACGTGCGGCATGAAAAGTATCCTCATCTCCTGTCTCTCTGCCTCCATTTCTCGCAACTTCCCCATGCCACTCGTCGAGTGTGTGGCCAGGGGGATACTAACCTCCCGGCGCGGCCACACACTCGACGAGTGAAAAAGCTATCTCGACGACGACAACGTATATTTCTTTTTATAACATTGATATAATTAGCTATAATAAATATGCATAGCTCGCACGCTGCAATAGTTTCAACATCCAATGTGTTGTAAACACGAGCGACCTAGTGCGTAGCATCGCAATTAATTGCACGAATAGAAAAGTGTGTGGGCAGACAGGGCAACATCGCGGCAGCACGTGGAGCGGAGCGATGAGCAGCGCGACGAGCATAGTGTGTCCGAGCCATAACAACGGGAGATGCTCATGTCCCAGCAATAGACTTTTATGGGCCAGTGCAGAAGAAAAAGAACATGAGTAATTTAAGTTCTATCCCCGCCGCCAGTTCCACTAAAATTGTTAATCGCTGAGCTTATGGTAAACGATGTGAAGGAAAACATCGTAAAGAAATCTGCTTACCTGAGTCGTCATTGTTATATTCATTACAGCCCGTCACGAGTCTATTGTTGTAAATAGGCCACCTCCAAGGAATAACACAAAGCACGGTCCTGAATCGCCTGCATCTCTTAAAAATATTGGGGAGTTTTCTGCGATTTCGAAATAAGGCTATCCACAGTAGAAGCAAAGTTACCGACATAGCCCAATGCATCAGTCAGCTGAAGCGACAATAGACTGGCCACATAGCTTAAAGAACCGTCAACTATTGAGGAAGAAAAGCTCTCAAGTGCTAGCTTCGTACCGGTAAGCAAAGTTTAGGGCGACTTCTGACTTATTTGAATATTTAAAATTCATTGGAGAATATGTTTCCCACTATGTATTGGACTTTTCCATGCTCTAAAACTCTTTCAGAACTGAGCGTACCCCTAAGTTAAAATAGTTACTTTAATAAGAAGTGCTGATAGATAACATACCTAAATTTAGCAAAGTTTGTCCACATTTTGCTCATAGTGTTTCTTACTATAAGATCATCCTCATTTGCTTTGTGCGTTATTTCTCTGCTTAAAACATAACCTCTGTCGTCGCCATGGGCTGCACCTTTTCTCATGATACCAAAAGAGAGCTTAAAAAGGTTGAGTTTTCCATCATATGAAAACTCATAAAGACGTACGGGCACACCTCTTTGAGCCATTAATTTTCCGGACACCCAAATACCTGATACAAATTCAAGGTCGCTAAAAAAGTCTACGGCGAGCTTATCTTGGTCATCTTCAGGTTGAGTGTTCTCTGAATAGGCTTGTAAGAGCTTTGCGCTGTATTTGGTATTATCATCTGTATCTAAACTAAAAGACCAAGATTCAAGAAAATTCCGTTTTTCCAAAACATTTAAGATTACTTTCGGCTTCATCATATTCATTAAGTAACCTTCTTTATCGCAGAAACCTTTAATAACGGGTACATGATTAAATTTTCCTTGTTTTAATAAACGGTAAGGTTTTTCAGTTAGGAAAGCCTCTCCATTATTGAAATCCTTTTCGATCGTTGGAACAAATCCAAAGAAAAGTCTTTTCGCCCTATATTCTTCGGAGACTTGAAAAGCTGTAACGACTAAATCGTTTCCGGGCGTATTTAGTAAAAAATTGTGAATAGCAACATTATCATCTTTGGATCCCTTAAAGCCTAACTTTTCAGCGAGTTGATATGCAAAATTTTTGATTTCGTAGTTAACTGTCCAGTGGTTAAGACAAGAACCAGACTGAAGGATAGCCTTATGAAAAAGTCCTTTTGCCATTGGTGAAACAATTAGGTATTCCACAGATGCAGCACCAGCACTAACACCGAATATAGTAACGTTATCTCTGTCGCCACCAAAATAACATATGTTGTTTTGAACCCATTGAAGAGCTTTAACCTGATCTTTAAGGCCCATATTACCTGCTGCTTCCGGGATATCTAACGACAAGAATCCTAAGACGGATAGCCTGTAGTTAATTGTAACTATTACTGTATTGTGTTCAATAAGGAAATTTGGACCAATTTCACTTTTCAATATTCCATTTCCAAATACAAATCCGCCGCCATGTATATACACCATCACAGGGAGCAGCTTAGATTTTTCATGGGGCAGAATTGGGGTATAGACATTAAGATAAAGACAGTCTTCGCTTCCCGTAACTTTACCACCAATCATATCCATTTGCATTGCTGTATTCTCTTTGTTGGCAACTGTGGCATCTCTTTCGCCTTCCCATGCTTCTGGTGATTGGGGACTCTGTAAAGATATACAGTAACATAGTTGTTATATTCAACTAGCGATCCACCCCGACTTCGCACGGGTGATTTCCAGTGCTCGACAATAGCTCCACCTACCGGGTCCAATTGTAAATCGTTTATATCATCCAGGGATCCACGCACACACACAAAAAAACCATCATATTCGATCCAGCCGTTTTCGAGTTTAATCGAGACTAAAGGAGCTATAGGTTAAAAGTTTTTTTTTATTTTTAACGCCCCCGCACTGCCCCTTGTTTGTGGAATTTCATAAAATCTGTTCTTGGTAATTTTCAAAATGCTAAAAAGAATATTCTGGCCAAGTTTTATACCTATAAAAGCTATAGTTTGAAAAAGTGTTTTTTTTTAAATCACGATATATCTGGAACCATAAGGCCTAGATACTTGAAATTGGTAGGAATATTCCTTTTGCCGAGTAAAGGTCAGCTAAGAAAGGATTTAATGAAATTCCACCCGCAAGGGGGGTTGAGGGGGCGTTAATAAAAAAAATCACATTTACCCCCGCAGCCTTTTAGCTGACCTCTATTCAGCGAAAGGAATAATCCTACCAAAGAGCAATGGCAGACTTTCATACATAAAAATAGTTGAGAAGAAATGGTAGCGTCTATATACCAAAACTATCTTAAAATGTTAAGCGTCAGTCCCTTAATAAATCTGTCAAAGAATTTCGTACTGAGAAGGCGTCAAAAAAAGATATTTACATTTAAACCTTTTTAGGTTATGTCCTATGTCACTTGGAAAAAGTCATGCTTCCTGTGGTTGTTTGATGTTAGCTTAATACATAATAGATAATTGAGAGTTTTTAGATTATTGTATCTCTATTATATATTTGCATACTATAAATGTATATTTCTGGCATGGCTCTAGGGCTTTTGTATCATAGTGACATTCTCAGAAGGGCTAGAACCCAGAGCCGTAAAGCCAGTAAAAAAAAGGTGACATTTTATTTTAGCTAGTGTTGGCATAATATTAAATGGAATTGTTACATAGTACTATGATTGAGATAGTACATTATTGTAGGAAATTCTTTGCAAGAGACTTATTCTCAGCCATTTCACTTTTATTTTTTATCATTACTGATAGTACAGTTATTACTAATAATAACTTAATATAAAAATATTTTGTGTGTTGTGTTGGTAGTCTTACTAAGTATATACGAAAATAGTATGAATATACTAAATGGCAACATTTGAATAGAGTAAAATGATTTAAGTCATTTGATATTCCCAAAAATGTTTGTTTTTTTTTCTGTGGCTTTAATTAAAAAAAATTTAATTTGAAAAATCATAGAAATATAATAAAACTCATTTTATATTTAACATATTTCTAGACGCTATAATTTTTGTCAACTATTTTTCTGCCATTGCTCTTTCAAGTCTCTAGGTTTTATGGTTACAGAGATATCGTGTTGAGTCAGTATATAGGTGGAAATCTCTTATATGTATATACAAATAAATAAATTTGAAGTGTCTGTTTGTAATGTCAAAATTATAGTTTTTTACTAAATGCATATGAAAGTAAATACGGTACTTAAAACTAAAATACAATTTTTTAAAATTTTGTCTGTCTGTCTGTCTGTTTGGTCCGTTCTAATCTCCGAAACGGCTGAACCGATTTTGACGGGACTTTCACTGGCAGATAGCTGATTTCATAAGGAGTAACTTAGGCTACTTTTATTTTAGAAAAAGAATTAGGGTTCCGCGCAAAAACATAAAAACCCTAACACGCGAGCAAAGTCGCGGGGCACAGCTAGTCTTTATATATAAAAATTACGTGTGACGTTGTTTGTCCGCGATGAACTCCTAATCTACTGAACTGATTTCAATGAAATTTGCTCACTGTGTGCAGTTTCTGAAAGCGGGTGGAAAACCGGTACTTGAAGTCCTTCAGAAGCTCTTTAATTCCGTCCTCCATGGTGGCATTGCACCGGAGGCGTGGAGCAGAAGTGCGGTGGTCTTGTTCTTCAAGAAAGGTGACAACACTCTCTTGAAGAACTACAGACCGATTTCCCTTCTGAGCCGCGTCTACGTGCTGTTTTCGAGAGTCATTACGAATCGTCTCGCGCGCAGACTTGACGACTTCCAGCCTACCGAACAAGCCGGTTTCCGAAAGGGCTTTAGCACCATAGACCACATACATACCCTTCGGCAAATTGTACAGAAGTCCGAAGAGTACAATTTGCCACTATGTCTGGCGTATGTGGACTATGAAAAAGCCTTTGATTCCGTCGAAATTTGGGCGGTGCTGCAGTCCCTTCAGTGGTGCCAAGTTGACTGTCGGTATATCGAAGTTTCGAAGTGCTTGTACAGTAGGGCTACGATGGCTATCCGAGTACAGAACCACAGTACGAAACCTATCCAATTGCAGAGAGGTGTAAGACAGGGTGACGTCATATCCCCGAAACTTCACCGCTGCATTGGAAGACGTTTTCAAGCTTCTGGACTGGAAAGGATACGGTATCAACATCAATGGCGAGTACATGACTCACCTTCGATTTGCCGACGATATAGTCCTTATGGCAGAATCGCTGGAGGACCTAAGCACTATGCTCAATGACCTCAATAGTGTTTCCCAACGGATAGGTCTTAAGATGAACATGGACAAAACTAAGATCATGTTTAATGTCCATGTCACACCTATGCCGGTAGTTGTTGGGAACACTAAGCTCGAAGTTGTTGACGAGTATGTTTACCTGGGACAAATAGTCCGACTAGGTAAGTCCAACTTCGACCGAGAGGTCAATCGACGGATTCAACTCGGTTGGGCAGCGTTCGGAAAATTACGGCACATCTTCTCGTCAGGTATACCTCAAACCTTGAAAACGAGACTGTACACCCAGTGCGTGTTGCCAGTGATGACATACGGAACTGAGACGTGGTCCTTCACTGCTGGCCGGATGAGGAAGCTCAAGGTCGCTCAGCGAGCTATGGAGAGGGCTATGCTCGGAGTTTCTCTGCGTGATAAACTTAGGAATGAGGATATCCGCAGTAGAACCAGAGTAACCGACATAGCCCAACGGATTAGTAAGCTGAAGTGGCAATGGGCCGGCCATATAGCTCGAAGAACCGACAACCGACGGGGAAGAAAGGTTCTCGAGTGGCAGCCTCGTACCGGTAGGCGTAGTGTAGGCGTAGTGTAGTCCCCCCACGAGATGGAGTGACGACCTGGTAAGACATGCAGGAAGTCGATGGATGCAGGTGGCTCAGGACCGTGCTTTGTGGCATTCTTTGGGGGAGGCCTATGTTCAGCAGTGGACTTGTGAAGGGCTGTAATGATGATGATGATGTTGTGCAGTTTGGTCCAACTTGAGAGATAGGATAGTTTTTATCCTGATAAGTGACACTCAATATTTTTTTTTGTTACGAATTTAAGGATTTTTTATATGAAGGGTTGTCGAAAAGGGCAGAACAACTTCTGCCTGGTCAGCTAGTTATATATAGATTTTTATTTATTTATTTATTTATTTATTATATGGACAACAAAACAGATAACAATCAAAATACATTACAATATAATATAAATATAACAGTTTTGTGCCAGATTGTTATCCTAAATATGTTGACACATCATTTTTATATGAAATACAGGAGATCAACTCTACGCTTTGCAATGTTTATGACATACATAACATGACTATGACGTACATTTGGCTGCATAGGTACGAGTATATTTAAAATCACTAGAAAAGGGTTGTTAAAATTAATGAACAATAATTGAGATGTGGGTGTAGTACGAGTAATTAATACGCATGAGAGCACTATCTAATAATAATTAAGCGCGACGACTTCCCTGCAATCGGGGGAGAGTGATGTCCAGCCGTGCACTTTCACGGACTGATGAGGGGCACTTATTGTCTTACCGTAGCCCTTCTGTACTCTGATGAAGTATACAAGTTTTCGACCTTTAGATGTAGCCATCGTGAATAGTTTTTTTTTACAAAATAATTTGATGAGGGTTGATCCATTAAGAATTTTTTGGGTAAATAATTTGTTTCTTAAAGCCTCTTCTAGGTGCAACGTGTGCAGTTGAAGTTGATATGATATCCCAGCGTAAGGACTCAAAAGTAGCATAGAAACATGAATTAGCTTACTGATTGACTGAATGACATATCGTTTATAGTTAATGTTGGTCGTATTTACAATTTTATTGAAAAACACCTAGCAGATCCTCGCGAATTTACTTGCGTGGTATTGTAATTTAAAAAAAATGTATAAACTGATGGGTGTCAAAAGGCGTGTCTCCACCAAAAATGTTGACAACATTTATGTTTGCAATTGTTGACAAATCAACAAAAGTTGACGACATTTGTTTCCGAAAATGTTTCAAAATGTTGCAAGAAGCGTCTCCACCGAGGGAACAAATGTCGGCAACAAGCGTATTCCTTTGATGTTGCCGCCGAAAATGGAAACACGATTCCCGACATTGTTTCGTTTTGTTGCTAAAACTAGGTGATTACAGAAACATTCGTCGGCAACACGTGTTGACAAATGTTGTGTTGACAACAAAACTTTGGTGGAGACGCGCCATTAGAGGAAAAGTGAATAGGCTTTTGTTATGTTGGTGCGCTTAACAGCAACAACAATGTCTGCACTGCTATGTTCCGGTCCAAAACGCATAGAGTCAGTATAATTACAGGCTATGAGGCATTCAGTCTTAAGGCGGCTCTTCACGTTTGCCAACATTGTGGCGAATGCTGTGGCCAACACCTATGGCCATTATGTAAAGCGAGTGTTTGTGCACAAGTTGGCGCGAGATTCGTGTGGTGTCGGTTTTTTCACAAAAGATCAAAGGGTTGTGGCAGAGTTATGGCCGTCGCGTCCACACGTTGGGCGCGAGCGCGAGTTTAGTTTGCTACGAGCTCCCAGAGTGATCGCACGCACCTGATTTAAATTTTATATTCACGCGTCGTATCTAGTGTCTATAAAATGGCAGTAACAATGATCAATGAAGAAACTTTTAGATTTACCAAGCCGGAAATTGTTTGTGGAACCCAAGAAATAAAATTTCTTTTTTTCCATTTCTTTTTGATAACCCTTTTCTTATACACATTCACGTAGTAGGAGTACGCTGTAATCTGTGAATAAATAAACCGCAGCAGCCGTTAGCGCCTCAATATCCTTTTTAATAAATTCGTCCGCACATTGGCTCGAACCGAAGCAAACTGAACGATCTTCCAACGTATGGACGCCATCACAAACTCTTGGCTAAAGGCTCCAGTACACGTTGGTCGAGCGCGCTTGGCAAGCCCGCTCGGCAGATTTTTGTGGTGCCGTTCACACGTTGGCGTGCTTCATTCTGCGTTGGTAGCTAGATGATGATGGACGTTAGTGATCGCGGCCTTATTTTTATGTTGCTCATGTTTGGGGTTCCATATAACTGATTCATTGTGATAAGAATCAATCAACCTAAATATTTCCTCATTAGTCCATGTCGCCATGTTCGTGAAATAATTTTATTAAGCCGTAAAGCGTAACTATGAACTGAACACTCGGCCAACGTGTGATCGCTATTTGCGACTTGCGCCAAATTTCTTTGATTTGTGCACGGAAAACCGACACTATACGGCTTGTCGGCGAGTGTTGGCCGCAAACGCCAAATACACACAAAACGGCCCAGTACACCGTGTACTGCTAACTTAATATCTTTGCCACAACATTCGCCACAATGTTGGCCAACGTGAAGAGCTGCCATTAGCCTTCTGACCAGCGTATAATTTTAGCCAGATTAGGTGGACTGTACAAATAATAACAAACAATAATATACATTAAATTAGTATAAGTAGATGATAGAATTATATATTATAAATGTTATAACTAATATTATTAAGTATAATTCATATTAAAGTAGATCTTATTGAAAAAAATAATGTCTACTTATCAGAATGCCATTGTGGGGTTATGTAGGTGACATGGATACTGTATTTTTTTGCACGTACTTGATACCACACTCTCTTTTGCTAAATACAATGGTAAATTTCATCGTGAAATAATGCTTACTGCTTACTTAATGACTAAGGTTTTTTTTTCTAATCTAAGAATCTAATAACTTAAAAACTTTTTATGCAGCTTATTACTGTTGTAAAACAATAACGATTTTGTAACAAAATCAAAAGAAAACATCATGAAAATTGACAAATAGAAGTAGATTCACTGATATCTTAAATCTTACCTTAAATCTTAATTCTCTTACAGGTGGCTTTGCATATGGTATACCCAAGAACTCGTAGTATTGAAATCCATTATCGTTTTGTGATTTTCCACCTTTCAATTTTCCTTGCTGTATCGACACAGTTGCCATGTTTGTTCAGAATCTTTAATTTACTGTTTCTAAATGAGACGCAGCGATTAGAGTTCTGGACAATTTTTTTTTCCTATTTATCAGTAATTTAACGATAAATATATAGATAAGACTTTTTAACATGTACACGTATCAGCTAATGCTTGTTGCACTTACTACTGACATATGATATTATTATTAGGATCGGGCGAAAAGACATTTTCAATAATTTAAAATTTAAAATCCACCGACTTCAATATAAATTATTAAGAATAACTTAAAAAGTATTGGTCAGACCTTGCTCAAATGTATATGGGACCACATGAGAAGCACCAACTTTTAAATAGGAAAATAAACATCGAAATCGGTTCACCCAAAAAAAGCTATGAGGTTACACACATAAAAAAAACATACAGTCGAATTGAGTACCGTCTTTAAAAGTCGGTTGAAAAGGGGTTTTTAACAGATCTTTTGCTGTCGCACCGTTCCCCAACGACTGATATGGACAACCACAAGAAGCAAATAAAATGGAAGTGCTCTTCTAAATATTGTCCAAATTTAGCTTCAAGTTGTTCAATTAATTTTTGTAAAACATAATTAATAATTAAAAATTTTGTACAACCGACTTCAATATATAAATTATTAAGAATAACTCAAAAACTATTGGTCAAACCTTGACCAAATTTATATGGGACTACGTGGGAAGCACCTGCTTTCAAATGAAAAAAAAAATCATCGAAATAGGTTCACCCAGAAAAAAGTTATGAGGTAACACATAAAAAAACATACAGTCGAATTGAATATAGTCTCCTTTTTGAAGTCGGTAGAAAAATAAAAGTAAATTACATTCAACTCTGTGTGGTAAGTTTTTTTACAGGTTTCATACCATACATTTTGGATTGTCAGCTCGGACTGATTATATCTATGAAAAACTGACGAAATCATCATAATATCTCGTATTCTCCTGTTTCGTCCTTTAAAACCAGACCATAGCAATAATATAGCTATAGCGTGGCGGTACCACTTATTTGAAATGTTATTTGGTTTCTGATGCGTTATTTACCATACGGAAGGCATTATTGTACAAATTTAGGCAGTGTACAAGTAAATGAAGCATATTAAATTACTTTTCACGGCCAGTATCTTATCTCTCTCTAAAATTTACATTATTAACGGCTTATACAAAGAACCATTACGTCATATCTTGAGGCACAAGTAATTTTATGTATCCATGCAACAATGTCAAATATTGAATACTCCGATCGGAATGCACTAATACTATTATGGAATGATTTCGGGATGGGCAACAATTTACGCAATTGGGCGGTAAGTATTTATATACCAAGGAATAGAACTGGCACTATATTGAAAATTAGTGGAATTTTGTAATTCTAGTTGTTTTGTGGTAGCGATGTTTCAGTTATTCATTCTTACATTAATACAGGTAGACCATTAAAATGTCTTAATACAACTTGAGAGAAGCACAACGGGCTGTATAAAGGTAGTACCTGTAGTAAATACTCTAGTGTCTTGTATAGAGTAAAAAAATGTTTTACAAACTGAACATTAAAAAATCATCATCAGTGTCATAACCCTTGTCATGCCCTTCGTTGTAGGAGAGTTTTATTCAAGCTTGTCAGCTGGATTAAAGATCACAGCATCAGATATGGCGCTGCGTCCCGTTGCCACCGGTCTTGTAATTCTGGCGTATCGCTTCCGAGGGCGGTATACTTAAGTCTAATTTACACCAATTTACACCCGAGAGTAAATTATGAAACATAATACATACATATTTTCGCAAATAATTAAAAATGCATTTTAAAGATAATTACGTAATTAAAAACAAGAAGGGTCTTTAATGTGCTTAATTTAAAATGTTGCAGTTTTATAATAAATACATAGTTATCCAGGACTAATTTTTAAAAGTTGTTATAGAAATCAACAACAATTAAACAAGGCTTCCTCAAAGACTGCCTTTATAGCAGGGTTAGGGCTGTAATAAAATTCTTAACGAGAGTTGTGCTAACTTTTAATAATTTTATAACAATATTATTTGTTTATTTCTTTTAAACAGTGTTCAAAAATAAAGAAGTATCTATATTCGATACGTATGTTTTATGTACGTTTACCGATTTTTCATAAATATCACTTTTTTGTTGGTCCCATATAAATTAAAAAAAAATATTCTTCCCTACGGGTGGAAAAATAGAGTTTTAAAATACCTACCTGTTTAGACGAAATTCTAGTTGTTACCTCTTGAAGTCAGTTTATACTTTTAATTAAAAGTTATTAAGTTACCTTCACACTAGAAATTTATATTGTATCGTAGAAGCGTTCTACACACACAAATGATGTAGGCACACCCATATTGTTTGTGGGTCTTGTTTGTGTGGGAGTTGAAATTCTGATAAGTATTATCTAATCTGTGCGGTGGCCCGCAACGAATGCTTACCACCAATGTGATACCGCGCCGTCGAATTCAGAAAGCACATTTTTAATTATTCCTCTATTAAATATAACTTATTAGATTTTAAAAGAGTAATCAGATCCATTTTAAAATTTATATTCACTGATTATGTGTTGTGTGTTTATGTTCTCAAAATTATTTACTTACTATTGTAATTTTATATTCCAATAAATTATTGATTAAATTATATACTAAATCAAGTCTATTTTTTATTAAGGCTTCGAAAAGCGTGGGGTCACAGACTATACCAACCGGCGAGGCGCGGCGCCGGTGAGTCGCACTGTGAAATACTCAGGTGCATCCGAACCTGCCCACGGATATATATACAGTATGTTCTAAATTATTTCAACGCTGTTTAGTTTTAGTTGTATATATTTTGTTGCAATATGTAAAGACATAGTTCTGAAACTCAATATGAAAAGATTTGACACAGTACCTATTTTTAATTATAGTTTGTGCAAGTACAAAAAAATGTTCTTTTCTTTTTTGTTATGGTCCATGCTAAAAATTTGTTAAGAAATAAATCCTAAGAATGAGGTACTTTCAAAATAAATTGCATTAAATTTTAGGATAATTGCTAATGTTTATAAAAAAACATTCTAAAGCCTAGAAGCCATTATTGCAATTCATTTATAATCCTTTGCATGAATACATCTTTAATTACTTGCATGCTTCATGCCTAGTACATAATAGAGCTGCTATTACGTTCATGGCGTTACGGAATTTATTTCGCTTAGAAACTTTGAGTATCCAAATTCTAACCATAACCTACAGAGCAACTTTATCCTTATGTAGTCAACAGTGAAGAATCATATTTTTGTTTCATAAGTATTAGAGGCCTTTGTGTTCTGATTAAGAGAAATACTGGACGAAGAGATGATTAAGCAGTGTGCAAATAGCCTAAATGCTTCTTAGCTTCCTTGAAATCTGACCTAGGTATATGTGTCACTTGAAAAATTAGGTCACACGTATTAAGTGCATCATTTTAGATAACATTCCTACCGGATAAGGCATACTTTTTCTGCTAATATTTTTTTTCATTTTTGTTAAAAATTGGCTCTGTTTAGGCATTTAATTGAATGCTGGCGTCTAAATGTATGGTTTGCAAATGAATTGATCGGATAATTAAACCAACGGGCTGCTCTATACAAGTTTTTCATTATTTGCAACAATTGCACTAAGAACAAGTAGGGTTTGAAATGCAAAGTTAAAAATATTTCATTTTAAATTGCAGTAATAATAAATCCCGCTGTGTATACTTCCCAGGACACTTTCATGGCGATGCCTTCGAGTCGTGATTTTATTCTAGAAAAGTGAGAAAGAGTAAGAAATATAGTCTCCTTCTCGTTGTAATTTTTTAAAAAGTAAATAGGCACTTTTTGTAGAAGATTAAATCTGAGTTTTGAAGATGATCAATGACTGTCGAATAATTTTCCATAAAATATCAAAGGGAATGAATCTGTTGGTTAGTGAATAAAACGTAGAAAACATCTTTGGTAGAGGTACTCGTCTGGTGGATTCCGACTAAAAGGACTAGGGACTAAAATAACTCTAATGTGCTCTTGGCACGTGAAACTTACTTAAAGTAAGACATCAAACTATATCTCTGACATCATATTATGATCTTTGCTTTCGCTTGTCCTGATTTCGTACATGTGTGATAACGGCGTAATATTACCCTATTTCTTAACATCAAATCTATAACAAACTTTTGTCCGTATATACCACGACGACAATCAAGGTCAAAAATTTTCCTCCGTTTCTTAAAGAAGGACCTCTATAAAAAAGAACTGGTAAGAATCTTTACGGTTATCGTTTTTTTAATTGTTTTAAGAAACATTTAATAAATATATAACAGGGGGAGACAAATTGATTTAATATGATCTACAGCCTGCCGCAGGAAACAAGTCATTTGTTTAAATTGTCTCAGTAAAGGACAGAAGTTGTGACTTCCTGTGCTTTATTATGTGATTCGATAATTTATTCGGACAAGAAGAACGAATGATGACACAAAGTTTTAACATGTTCGACTTTAAATACCTATGACAGTTCATGATATGAAAGCGAGGTTATTATATATAATAAGACGTAAGGCGTTTGGAACTGTATTCTGAACTAGAAGGAAGCCTACGTAGAGTTGTAGCCTGCTAAAAACTAAAAGATAAACCATAAATAGATAGTATTTACAAAGTACACACAACTATTAAAAAATATAGTTAAAACAGAAACTTAAATAAAACAAACATATTATGCCGGTTACTATTTATGCATGGATGTGTGAGTACTAAAAAACTGCAATGGTACAAATAGTGTAGCTAAGTGATTCTTACATCACGCAATAAAATGAAGAATTTTAAAAATCATCCATATTACATGCATTTATTTATCTTTCGTGTCCTAGGTTTAAATAAATAAAACATTATGTATGAACCACTTCATTCTACTAATTACCTTAAGAGTTATAAGCCATTTAAATTTAAGGCATGGGACGGGAATGAAATTGAACAAAGGGTAATGAAATAAAACCTTGATAAGAGTCATTGCCAAGGCAAAG